AAACAAACCAAGCTAAGACCAGGCATTCATAAGTAAGAATAAGCTCCCCATTTGGGAGCTGGGTGGTGGGCCCCCAAAGAGTAAAACAAACAAAAAACCCAAGTATGCCCTTCTTTCTTTTGAGACACCAGCATATGTAGAATTAAGGAACTCAACACAAGGAAAATAGGAATTCTCAAACAAGATTTGTCAGGTGGTACAATCAACAACAAGGTCAGTCTGCACCGAGACTGCCCAACCTTTCCAAAATCTCACATATCACAAACACACTGTTCCCAAGGGAATGAAGAATCAGTATTGTGATGTGTGGGAAAAGGTGAGGACTAGGTAGCCTTAGGACAAGCAGCCTAAATGTAAACAATAACAGTTGATCTGTGCAAGGGTCTGAAAATAAGAAGGAATGGCAAAATTGGCCTCGACTCTTTTTTCTTATAACTTTATTCTTATTAGTTTTCTTTTAATCAGTAGTGAATTTCATTATGTTTTTTTGTTTGTTTGTTTTTGTTTTTTCAAAACAGTTTCTCTGTGTACAGCTCAGGCTGTCCTGGAACTTGCTCTGTAAACCAAGCTGTCCTCAAACTCACAGAGATCCACCTGCTTCTGCCTCCCGAGTGCGGGGATTAAAGGCATGCACCACCACCCCCAGCTCATTATGACATTTAAAAAAAAGATTTATTTTATTTGAGTGCTCTATCTGTATGTACAACTTTATGCCAGAAGAGGGCATCAGATCCCACTATAGGTGGTTGTGAGCCCCCATGTGGTTACTGGAAATTGAACTCAGGATCTCTGGGAGAGCAGCCAGAGCTCTTAACCGTACTCCAGCCCTCATTATGAACCCCCCCCCCTTTTTTTTTTCAAGACAGGGTTTCTCTGTGTAGCTTTGTGCCTGTCCTGGATATCGCTCTGTAGACCAGGCTGGCATCAGACTCACAGGGATCCGCCTGCCTCTGCCTCCCGAGTGCTGGGATTAAAGGCATGTGCCACCACCACCCGGCTGGCCTTGACTCTTTACAAGATGTGAGTAGGGAGCTGCAAAGAGAGGTCAAAAAACGCAACCCTGTCCCCTGGGGCCACACAGCAGAAAATTGACAGAGCTGGGCTTTGGGGTGTTATTTCATTACATGGCTCTGATTGGAGTGGAAGTTACTATGTAGTCCAGGCTGGCCTCAAATTTAACAGCGATCCTCCTGCCTTTGCTTTCTGAGTGTTAAAAGAATGCAAGTCCGGGATTGGGCATTTAGCTCAGTGGTAGAGCGCTTGCCTAGCAAACACAAGGCTCTGGGTTCGGTTCTCATTCTGGGGGGAAAAAAAAAAAAAGAGTGCACCTCCATGCTGGGCTCAGATTGAGTTTTTGTTTTGTTTTGGTTTTGGTTTTTGGTTTTTTGAGACAGGGTTTCTCTGTGTAGCTTTGGAGCCTGTCCTGTAACTCACTCTGTAGCCCAGGCTGGCCTCGAACTCACAGAGATACACCTGCCTCTGCCTCCGGAATGCTGGGATTAAAGGCATGCGCCACCACCGCCCGGCCAGATTGAGTTTTAAATTCGGATCAGGTCTAAAGTTACTGTCTGCCCCCCTTCCCCCAAACACACACCCCCTTTATTTTGTTTCATGTGCATTGTGAGGATGTCAGATCTTCTGGAACTGGATTTATAGGCAGTTACGAGCTGCTATGTGGATGCTGGGTGCTGGGAATTGAACCCAAGACCTCTGGAAGAACATTGCTCTTAACCATCTCTCCAGCATGCACACACACACACTCGCCGCACCCTTTTTTTTTTTTTTTTTTTTTAGTTTGAGTTTGTTTATTCAAGAAACCCGGTGTAACAGCCCTGGTTTTCCTGGAAATCGATTTGTAGACTAAACTGGCTTTGAACTCACAGAGACCTGTCTGCCTCTGCATCCCGAGTGCTGAGACTAAAAGACTACCACACCGGCAGCTGCTCTGATTCTCATATGCTTTCTCTTTTGTGCGCCTGGTTAGTGTCGCCGGCCTCCGGAAACCGCGAAGTTCCCACTTGTGCCTCTCTAGTTACTTGGTCTAGGGCCGCCTACCGGGCGCGGGAACCTACCCAGGAGAGCCTGTTGCTGCTGAGGCCTGTAGAAACGTGACGGTGGTCGTCAATTTCTCTTTCCAGCACTCCGCCAGGGCTAGGGGAGTCGGGGAAAGATGCTTGGCCGTGTCCATGGTTACTGGGAAGGCACCGCCTGTCATTCAGGCAAGCCAGCAGGAACTACGTTTACCCAAGCATCGGTCGTGTGCACTGGCCAACGCGAGCCAGGGAGGCGGGGCTTCCGGCGGTCTAGGTTGTCAGTTTGCAGACCGGCTTCGGGCCACACGGGTGATCCTGATTGGTGCGTGAGGGACCGCGCCCGCTCTGCACCCTCCAAGAGGTTCTGGTGACCCAAGACTAGGGCAAGTGAGGACGGTACTCGCAGCTGCCCGCTTCGGGCCGTGGCTCAGCATTCGTCCGCTCTGTAAGCCGGTGAACCTTCCTCCGAGCCTCAGTTTCCCCCGTTGACTCGTAGGCGACAGTTAGGACCGTTAGGGCCGTTCCTGGAGCCACGTACTCTCCATCCCCCAGCTGCAGCCCATCAGCATCCCTCTGGGCGTACAGCGCCCTCGTCTGACCGGGAAACTGAGGCCCCGGCGGGCTGCGCGAGGCCGTGGGCGGGGACGGGCTATGCCCGGGTCTCCCGCCCGTCGTGCCCCGCCCCCACTGCAGATTCGGACCGCGGCGACCTGGCCACTGACAGATACATCGCCGGTGAGTGTAGGGATCCTACCATGTCCTGGCTTGCCCTCTTGCCGTGTTGTGGGGAGGTCAGCAGTTGTTTCCAGCACCATAGTCCAGGTCAGTGAGGGTGGCCGGTGTGGAAGCCTCACTTGGGATAGCCAAGAGGGTTAGGGCTGGAAGAAAGTTAAAGGGAAGAACCCGGACGTGCAAAAGCAACGGTGACATTTTTATAGTTTGAAGGCAGTGTCTCTTCTTTTGAGGCCGACCAGAAGTTAGATACATAGCCAAGAATGGTCTTGCATTTCTGGTCCTCGTGCCTCCACTTCCCGAGTACTGGATTTGCAGGCATACACCACCACACCCAGCTTTCACGTTACTGGGGATGGAACTCAGGGCCTTGTGCATATCATGCAAATACTACAAACTGAGCTATGTTTCCAGACTGGAACTTAGCAATTTAGATGTGGAATGAACAAGGAAGGGAGGACTTGTGTGACTGAAATATCAGGGAGAGGAGTTGGGACTTTGTCCCAAAGGTATTGGAAGACACGGAGTGCTTTAAACATAGACTGGACAGTTTCCCAGTTAGGTTTTTTTAAAATATTTTTTATTTCTAATTACGTGCATTTATGTGTGGGTATATGCACATGACTGTCAGTTCCCCTGGAGCTGAGTTTCAGGCACTTGTGAGCCATCTAATGTGAAGGCTGGGAGCTGAATTCACGTCCTCTGGGAAAGCCGCAAACATTCTTAACCACTGAGCCATCTCTCTGGCCATAGTTTCCTGTTTTGTTTTGTTTTAAGACAGTCTCACTATGTAGATCTAGCTAGTCTGCAACTTGATATGTAGATCAGGCCGGCCCTGAACTCACAGAGATCCACTTGCCTCTGCCTCCTAAATGCTGGGATTAACCACCACATCCAGCCCCTCAGTTAGGATTTTAAAAGCATCCTATCTTTTTCTGAGTGTAGGACAGACATGGAGGAGGCATCATTATGCAGAACAAAGGCTACTGACCCCCCCCCCCCTCAAATCCATGGGAATGATGGTGGGCCCTGGACCAGATTAGTAATGATAGTGGTTAAAGTGGCTTAACTATGGGTAGATATGCTGAAGCGTCAGGTTTGAGTGTGAACCAGTGTTATGAGTAGAGGACTCTCTTGTCAGCTTAAGCATCTGGGAGGCTGCAACGACTGTAGATGTGGAGAAACCCAGGAGTGTGTGCTGGCCCAGAGTAGACTGGTTTGGTGGGCCTGAAGTGATAGATGTCCAGTTAACTGCTCCTGGTGTCTTGAGTCTAGACCTGAGAACTGAAGGGGCATAGTGCCACAGGCTTGATCAGGGTTGGTCACTTAGGACCTGAGAGCGATGAAGAAAGGCAAGCCTGAGCCGGGCGGCGGTGTCTTTTGCCTTTTAACTGCTTCCATTCATTCATAAGTTTTCTCTATGAAGAGAGCATGCATAGAACATTACAAAGACAACACATGCCAGGCGGTGGTGCCGCACGCCGTTAATCCCAGCACTCAGGAGGCAGAGCCAGGTGGATCTCTGTGAGTTCACATCCAGCCTGGTCTACAGAATGAGTTCCAGGACAGGCACCAAAACAACACGGAGAAACCCTGTCTCGAAAAACAAAAACAAAACAAAAACAAAACAAACAAACAAAAGCAAGCCTGTGGCTGTGAGGGAAAGAATCCAGCAGGTGGCTGAGCAAGAGGAGGAGTAGATGAAGAACAGAAAGGAAATGAATCACTGGTAAGGAAGAAGGTTGGCTTCCTGTATGTCTATCAGATTGATGTGGCCACTCCCACCCTACCCCCATAGAAGTGACTGGGATTCTCCATTTATGTTTATTCCAAAGAGCCAATTTTGTGTATTGGTTTTGGTTTCTTTGTGTAGCCTTGGCTGTCCTGGAACTGGACTCTATAGACCAGGCTGGCCTCAAACTCACAGAGCTCTGCCTGCCTCCACCTCCCAAGTGCTGAGATTAAAGGTGTACACCGCCATTACTCAGCTATTGTGTGTGTGTGTTTTGAGACAGGCTCTCTCTACACAGCCCCTGGCTGTCCTGGAACTCACTATGTAGACTAAGTTGGTCTTGAACTCACAGAGCTACACCTGCCTCTGCCTCCTGAGCCAGTACTACAGGGAAGGAAGATAAGTGTCTAAGAAGTATTAAGGAGAGATAGCCATAGGACAAGGAGCTGGTTCCTGCCTCACACAGCCATAGCATAGACACTATCTTATTCTTGCTGTTATAGAGCCTGATGGCCTTTGAGGACGTGGCTGTGTACTTCTCCCAGGAGGAGTGGACGTTCCTGGATGCAGCTCAGAGGGCCCTGTACCGCCATGTAATGCTGGAAAACTTCGCACTTGTAGACTCCATAGGTAAAGCCCTGAATCCTCCATTGGAAGCAAAGCTGGGACCAGGTATGGCAGCCAGCTGAGGTTACCAGTTTTGGGGGCCATTACAACTGTCCCCTCTCTCCCTAGCTGTCTATGAGTGGGGTCCTCTATCCATGGACCACGTGAGAAAGGATGGGGCCCTGAACACATGCAGTCTGATAAGTTCAACCATTTCCTGTATCCCTGAGGTGCTGGCTGGCTACATTCTTCTGTGCCTGGGTTCTAGTCCCTTCATTTGGAGCTGCTGACCCAGTGGTTCCTTATGGAAACCCTTAAGCTGGCCCTGTGAGCCTCCTGTGTGGTATGACCTTTTGGATACATAGATTACATGGTTGATATCCATGATATCCCTTGTCCTGCTCTCTGTTGAGGCCGAACTGTCCTGAGCTGGGGCTGACCTCACATGCTCCTTCTCCCTGTCTGTCTCGTGTGATCATAGGACTCTCTGTCTCCCGGCCTCGTGTGATCATCCAACTCCAGCGTGGTGAGGAACCCTGGGTTCCCAATAGGACAAATACAGGCCCAGGCAGGCGCCCCCACAGAAGATCCAGCATTGGTGAGTCGGGCTCCACCTAGGATGAACTCAGGGCCAACTTGGTATCATAATCACCTTCCTCTCCTGGCTCCAATCTAGCTCTCTTCCCTTTCTGAATCCTTTACTCATCCTGTGGCCCTTCCTGCCCTTAGAGAAAAAACTTGAAGGGCACAGGTACTGCGTCCATGCAGGAAATGACTCCTTCGAGGCCCTCCCTCGCCTGTCCTCTGTGGCTTCACTTTCCACATCAAGTTGTCATATTTGTAGGGTCCCTCCTCCTTCCCAACTGTTGTTTGAACACGTCTGGTGGGCTGTTCCTGTCCCTGCACACACAGCATCAGCCGGGACACTGCTGTGCAGTGTGGCAATGCCAGGGAAAAGCAGCCAGCAAACAGACTGATAAGTAGTTCATAGACGAAAGAGATGAGCACAAGGAGAAGCAGACTAGGGAGCTCGTGCTTGAGAGAAAGTCCCCCAGGACAGCCAGTGCAGAGTCTCGACCACCACGAGGCCATTGCCACCAGGAGGGCCAAGAGCTGTTAGCTCTTCCCTGTCAACTTCTGCCAGGGCCAGCCTACGCCTGTTTTCTCCCTACTCTTTTACACTCACTTCATAGAGTCCCCTGACTGCCCAGGCACTCTGCTGTGGTCACTTCCTGGCCGGCCAGAGGACCCAGATAACTATCTTTCCTCTGCCTTCAGGATCCAATTACCATGCAAGGGACAGACACGTGTCTAGAGATGCAGCACTTCCAGGGGCTACCTGTGACCGTCCTGATGGGATACCTGCTGGTGCCTGCCCTGATGCAAAAATCCTGGAGAGACACCAGAGTGCCTCCCCGTCTCTGCAGAGAAAACCCACAGGGGTATCTGTGATCTACTGGGAGCAGCTACTGCTAGGTTCCAGCAGCAATGAGGCAACTGTGAGCCTGAGACTGACCTCCCCAGTGGGGGTTCCTGAAGATAGTTCATCCAGAGTGAAGGCTTTCTCTGACCTCTTGGCCCCAGGGAAGCAGTCACAGGTAGCCGGGCAGCAAAAGCCAGAGATGCAGCTAACTCCTGGGAGAGTCTTCCAAAGTATCCCAGACCTCCATGAGGCACGTGGACTTAGTGGGGCTTGGCACGAATCTCAGATAGACCCCAGTGTTCCAGAGCCCCCAATATGGGACGAGCTGGGCGAGGCCCTCCAGGCTGGCCCAGGTCTTCTCTCCGGGGACAAACCTTTTGAATGCAGGGCATGCAGCAAAGTGTTCGTGAAGAGCTCAGACCTCCTCAAGCACCTGCGCACCCACACGGGAGAACGGCCGTATGAGTGCTCCCAGTGTGGCAAGGCCTTTAGCCAGACGTCACACCTGACTCAGCACCAGCGCATCCACAGTGGGGAGACGCCCTATGCATGCATGGTGTGTAGCAAGGCCTTCCGACACAGCTCCTCGCTGGTGCGCCATCAGCGCATCCACACGGCCGAGAAGTCCTTCCACTGCAGCGAGTGTGGCAAGGCCTTCAGCCACGGCTCCAACCTCAGCCAGCACCGCAAGATCCACGCAGGAGGGCGGCCCTATGCCTGTGCTCAGTGTGGTCGCCGCTTCTGTCGCAACTCGCATCTCATCCAGCATGAGCGCACGCACACCGGGGAGAAGCCCTATGCCTGCTCCCTCTGCGGCGCAGCCTTCAGTCAGGGCTCCTCACTCTTCAAGCACCAGCGTGTGCACACCGGAGAGAAGCCTTTCTCATGCCCACAGTGTGGCCGTGCCTTCAGCCACAGCTCCAACCTCACACAGCATCAGCTGCTGCACACTGGCGAACGGCCCTTCCGCTGCGGGGACTGTGGCAAGGCATTTGCCAAGGGCGCAGTGCTTCTCAGCCACCGGCGCATCCACACGGGGGAGAAGCCCTTCGTGTGCACGCAGTGTGGCCGCGCCTTCCGTGAGCGCCCTGCCCTCTTCCATCACCAGAGGATCCACACCGGAGAGAAGGCCCTTCGGAGGCCCAGGGGCGGCATACATTCCCAAGCCAGGTCTCTAGGGGCATCCTTAGATGGTACACCTCCCAAGGCCACCTTAGGCCCAGCAGTGGTCCCAAAACTAACTGAGACCTGAGGGTCACAGCAGTGCCCTTCCCTGCTTTCTCTGAATCCCTTTCACTCACTGTTGAAGAGCCTGTGTCCTCAGCAAATCCACTGAGAAGCCCAGCCATGTGAACCAGGTATCCGGAAGACTTGCCAGTCAGTGCCATTTACATATGACAAGATCTGCTGTTCAGCCGCCATTCACACCTATACCCTGAAAGAAGCCATTCTGGAGAGGCATCCGAAGTATGCATGTACCCCCTGGAACTGGTGGAGCCCACAAGGACTGCCTCCAGAATCAGTGGGTGTCCCACAGACATTATCTTCATGTTGATGTCACTTCAGTGTTTCCTGAATGCGGCTATGAAAACAGGAAAGGAGCAGGCAGTAGGTAGAGATGGCGGGAAGACTCTGGCTACGCCCAAACTAGCAGCTGGAGAGACACTCCCAGGGTTCAGGGCATTCAGTTTCCTTGGTGCCAGCCTCAGGCAAATAAATGGTTTGTTTCTGAACCTCAGCTTTCTCTGGGAAAACGAAGAGGGAAGGAAATTTGGGCCAATGGAAAGGAGTATTAAAAAATATTCTAGGGCTGGAGAGATGGCTCAGAGGTTAAGAGCACTGGCTGCTCTTCCAGAGGTCCTGAGTTCAATTCCCAGCAACCACATGGTAGCTCACAACCATCAATAGTGAGATCTGGTGCCCTCTTCTGACACACAAGCACACCGTATACAAAATAAATAAATTAATTAATTAATCTTTAAAAAAATGCTCTAGCAACTGGATGTAGTAACATATGCCTTTAAACCCAATACTAGGGAGGCAGAGGCAGACAGGTCTCTGTGGTCTGCCTGGTCTACATAGTGAGTTTCAGGCCCCAACCAGAACTACATAGTGAGACCCTGTCTAAAAATATAAATAAGCCGGGCGGTGGTGGCACATGCCTTTAATCCCAGCACTCGGGAAGCAGAAGCAGGTGAATCTCTGTGAATTTGAGGCCAGCCTGGTCTACAGAGTGAGTTTCAGGACAGGCTCCAAAAGCTACACAGAGAAACCTTGCCTCAAAAAACCAACCAACCAAACAAATAAATAAATAGAGCTCTAACAGAATCCAAATAAAGTCCAAGTAGACTGACTCACTGCCAGACGTGCTAGGTACTGTAGAGTAAGCGGCTTTGTGGGTCTTGTATTTAGAAGCTCTACTTCAGAAGAAAAAACTGAAGAGCACAGAAGAGGTAGTGTGGCCTAGAGGACACTACAGAACCAGGACTGAACTTAGATGGACTTCTGCAGTCTCTGACCACAGTCCCTTCCCTCTACTCTACCATGCTTGAAGGGCTGGCATAACCCACTTGTAGGAAGTAGAGACCTGTAGGGAAGATATGGCTCTCAGCACTGTCAGACAGATCAAGGATGCTGATTCCTCCTCAGCATTTATTCCCATTCTCATCCAAGCCTGTCATCAACCACTACCAAAGCCCATGCTATATGAGCCTTTACATTGTTGTACCTGTTTTGAGAAACCCCCAGAGACCACCAAGGAGCCAGCTTCTGATGCAAGCACATAAGGGTCTTTTTATTCAGGTTCAACCTTGGCCACCGCACAGCAGATGGAAGGAAATGTGACGGCGGCCGAGAGCCCAGGCATAGAGAGTTTTTATAGGGAAAAAACACAAGCCAGGAATTGGCAACTTGGGATTGGGTAGAAAGGGTATGGGGCAAGGTGATTTTTTGAAACTATTGGTCTAGACTTTGGGTGCAAAACCACATTTGAAACCATTGGGTTAGACTTTTGGCGGGAACCACAACCCGCTGAACAGGATTATCTGGGCTGCTCAGCAGGATTATCTAGAGATCTTCAAGGGCCATACACCTCAGACAGGATGTCTGCAGGAGGATACTGCTCTGCATCTGTTCAAGTTGTCATGGCACATTCCTGAGTTCCTTCCTGGAACTGAGTACAGCAGGTGGTCTGAGATGGTGGCCCTTTCCCGAAGATGGAGCCTGTAAAGTCAAGTCTAGACCTTTACAACATCTGAAGTGGTGGTACAAACTTTAGAGGGCTGCTTACTTTTGCTGGGCTTAGCCATCATGTACCTCCCTGTTGTCCTTGTCCCCACCGTGGTCAGAAGGTAAAAAGCTGAGCAGGAAGGACTAGACATTTCCTATGACTTCTGGACCACCCTTGTCAATATAATGACTCAGAATGGTGAGGACAGTTGGGTGGGATTCAGTTTGCTTCTTGTAGCCTTCATTAGACCGGGTCCCATTTGGACCTGATGCAACCCCAACAGGGAAATGGAGGCGTGGTGGCATGTGCCTTTAATCCCAGCTCACAGGAGGCAGAGGAAGGCAGAGACACGCAGAGAAACCTTGTATCAAAAAATTAAAACAAAGAACTAGGCTTGATGATACATGCCTGGAAGCCCCACCTCTGGAGTTCAAGGATAGTTTGAGGCCCTATCTTTTTTTTTTTTTTTTTTTTTTTTTTTGGTTTTTTTTTCGAGACAGGGTTTCTCTGTGTAGCTTTGCGCCTTTCCTGGATCTCGCTCTGTAGACCAGGCTGGCCTCAAACTCACAAAGATCCTCCTGCCTCTGCCTCCCGAGTGCTGGGATTAAAGGCGTGGGCCACTGCCTAGCGAGGCCCTATCTTAAGAAGAAAAAAATTAGGTGTGGTGGCGCATGTCTTGATCCAAGCACTCTGGAGGCAGAGGCAGATGGATCTCTTAGTTCAAGGCCAGCCTGGTCTACAGAGTGAATTCCAGGACAAGTTCAGCTACAGAGAGAAACTTGTCTTGAAAAACAAACAAACAAACAAAAGAGTTGAGATACCCTGACATTTTTAACAGCTGTATGAACAGTAACACTTGTTTTTACCTTAAAACAATGCAGATAGTATTAAATGGATGTACACAGACAGGGCATTGGAGTGTCAGCACAGATTTGGAGATTTCGCTTTAATCTGGGTTCTCAGAGGGGCCATAGGGTAGAGAGAGAGCTTGTCTGCAGCCCAGTACAGGATGGGTTGTCTACATTCCCCGGGTGGCCACAGGTGGGTGGGGGAAGCCAGGAGACCGGAGCAGAGTGGGACTGCCCCAGAGCAGCAGTTCTGTTGAAAGATGAGCCTTTGTGGATCAGGCTGTGGGAGAGAAAAGAGTGGGAAGACCAAGGCAATGCTGTGAGGCACCTGCTATTGAGGCTGAGTGCGTGTGCAAAATTGACTCCAGCCCTGTGGGAACTCCAGACCTAAAGAGCCTTGCAGGTATGGTGGTGCATACCTGTCACCCAGCACTTGGGAGGCTGAGACAGGAGGATCTGGAGTTAAAAGGCCAGACTTGACTGCACATCAAGTTTGAGGCCAGTGTGAAGCTACTAAGACAGTTTGAAAAAAAAAAAAAAAAAAGGAAAAGGTCAGATGTGTTGATTAATACCTTTAATCGCACTCAAGAGACAGACAAGCAGTTCTCCATAGCAAGGTCCAGAGCAGTTGAGGCTACATAGTGAGACCTTGTCTCAGAAAAACAACCCCCCACACAAAAAAAAAAAACAACCCACAACCCATCTTGCAGCTATCCTCTATACTTAAGACACGTGTGTCCCACCCATTTGCCAATGGGATCAGATACATCTTCCTCTAAACCTAATGAGTTCACGCAAGGAGGGGTGTTGTGCAGGACCTAGCTGCCCCAAACCCTGTAAAGGCAAGTTCTCTGGGCTAGGCCTCCCGATACTCAGCAGGCCTACTCAGCTCCTCTTGGATGGGGCTGTGTAATGCCAGGGGGGCTCAGAACTGAAGGTATATGTTGAGCAAACGAGTTCCCCGACAGTCACAGGAAACCTGCAGCACATGTCCTGAGCCTTCCTGGCCCCCCAGACTGGGATCAATACCATCTTCTCTTCCTCGCCAGCCTCCTCTGCTTGTGTCCCTACTGCCCTTTAGTTCTACCCTCCTTGAATCTTCCAATACCCAGAACTGTTCTGTGCCCCTGTGCCTGGTCTTCCCGGGCAACCATGGCTATATTGGTTGACCCCTCTTAACAGGCTGCGACTGTAAAAATGTCCTGGGGGCTTTCTAAGTCAAAATGTTAAACCAGCTGAGTTTGGTAGCACTCGCCCATATTTTCAGCACTGGGAAAAACTGAAGCTGGAAGACAGAGAGTTAGAGACCAAAGTAGGATTTAGAAAAAATGCCTCAAAAAAGGTGGGGGGGAGGAAGAAAGGAAGGGAGGGAGGAAGGGAGAGAAAGAGAGAGAGAGAGAGAGAGAGAAAGAGAAAGAGAGAGAGAGAGGAAAGAGAGGGAAGGAGGGAGGAAGGAAGGAAGGGAGGGAGAGAGGAAGAGAAAGAGAAAGAGAGAGAGAGAGGAAAGGAAAGGAAAGGAAAGGAAGGAAGGAAGGAAGGAAGGAAGGAAGGAAGGAAGGAAGGAAGGAAGGAAGGAAGGGAAAAGAGAAAATCCACAGGGAGGTGGTGTTGCACATCTTTAACCCCAGCACTCTGGAGGCAGAGGAAAGTGGATCTCTGTGAGTCTGAAGACATCCTGATCTACAGAGCTAGTTCTAGAACAGCCAAGGCTGCACAAAGAAACCGCATCTCGAAAAATCAAAGAGAAAGAAAACAACCACCCCAACAACCAAACAAGCAAACACATGTACCACTCTTAGCTCACATAAGTCTACTGGTAACAATGGGGGAAACGTAACAGTGGCACCCGGAAGCCAGGAGGAGATGAGTCATCCTTATTCAAGGGAAACCAAATACTGAGCTGACACGGAGCTTGTCTCATGATTTTCCTGGGCAGGCATAAACCTACACTCCCCAATTAGGGAGACAGAAAACACAAAAGAGTCCTAAGTCCCGCTTGGCAAATAAGTTTATTGGGGTTACAAGAACATGGGTGACTGAAGAGTCCCAATCAGTTTTTTACCTTAAAATTCAGTGCCCTGCCCCCCCCAACACACACACTGAGACAGGGTTTCTCTGGCAACAGCTTTGGCTGTCCTGGAACTCATTTTGTAGGCCAGGCTGGACTCGAATTCACAGAGATCCACCAGCCTCTGCCTCCCTAGTGCTGAGATTAAAGGTGTGCATCACCAACGCCTGGCTAAAATTCAGCATTTCTAAGATGGCACACAGTTGGGCAAGGACTGGCGACTGAAATGTCCCCCCACCTCAAGAGAAAATGTCAATACCCCGGTTTCATAGACCATTTGCTGTATAATTTGTATTTCATTACCCTAAGGGCAAGGTCATTAGGTCACCATAAACCCTCTGCTTTAAGGTGGCTGAGAGGCCAAACTGGGGAACTTAGATTCTACCTCAAAAAAAAAATTTTTTTTCATGGTTACATTGATCAACCCAATATAAACCACAGTAATTAAGGGAGTTGGGGCTGGTTCAATGGTTGTTTACCTGATAAATATTCAGCCCTAGATTTAAAGCCCTGGGGGAACAGGTCTACCGGGCAGCACAGTGAAGGCTTGGGAGCCAGCTAACCAGGGAGGGGAACCCTAGAACAAAGGTGCTTCCCGGGGAGAGCTCCCTGGGAAACCCCTTAAAGCCCAGCCTCTCCCCACTGGGTGGGTGTGAGAGTTGTGTCCAGAGACTCTGTGAAAGACCTCACCTCAAGATAGTTCAGCCGGAGCCGGGCGGTGGTGGCGCACGCCTTTAATCCCAGCACTCGGGAGGCAGAGCCAGGCGGATCTCTGTGAGTTCGAGGCCAGCCTGGGCTACCAAGTGA